TTCAATCTCTTGAATGGTTTTACACTGCCTTTTTATATTTGATACTATAGTATATGAAGATATACTCAAATATTTCAAGGAAAGAGACACTATGGTAGCTACTGTTATGTCGTATTATCTTGTGGTGAAACACTACGTTGCTTAAATTGTTCTGTTCTGACCTGTGTTATTATGTTGTTATGTCTTCTTTTATCTTAATTTCCTTATTTTTAAAAAAAATTTTAATAAAAAAATACAATTTTCAAGTGAGTAACTTATACCTATAGTTATTGGAAATGTATGTTAGAAGTAATTGGTATTTATATGTCCACTGCAATCATTAATTTCCTGCTAGAATGAGGGTCCCTTTCTTCCCTGAGCTCTGTGATGTACCCGCCTGTAGCCTCCTTCATACACATCCCTCTGCACCCCAAGTGACCCATGAGAGAACCACGCTCCTCTCCTTTCCCTGAAAAGCCCTTGAGAACATGCTGCCTGCTGTTGTCTGGCTCTACGGCGCTCCATGGCCCATGTATGTGAGGCTGGCACTCCAGGATGGCATTACCAAGAAGTGGAAGCCTCTTCCTGGAGGATTTTCCTTCAACAGGGATTGTGGGGCTTTTTTCTCCTCTCTCTCGTGTTTGATGTATGGTCTTGATCTACAGTCCAAACTCACCCTGAACGCACTGTGTAACCCAGGCTGGCCTCAAACTCATGGCCATCCTCTTGCCTCAGCCTCCCTAATGCTGAGATCACAGGTGAGTGCCACCACACCTGGATTTCTTCTATTTATTCTTTTGCATTTGGCCATGTAGTGCACAAGCTTCCCCTCATCACCCTCCCACTGGGATGCACTGTCTCTCTCCAAGCCCAACGCCAAGAGGCTGGTGGACCATGGACTGTCACCTCCACAGCTGTGAGCCACAATAAATCTCTTTCTGAGTTGATTACACCAGCTACCTTGCTGCAGTGCTGTGAGCTAACACAGCATGTCTTCACTAGTGAAAAACAACTTCATGGCCTGGGGCAGAGCTCAGGTATGTAGCATGTGGGAGGCCCTGGGCTCAATCGCTAGCACAGTAAATAAATAATCGATCAACAAACACTGTAATGAAATCGGCTTTAAAGAGGCTGGCTATTTTCCACTGTGTCAGAGAGGAATGGCATTGCTCTGCCTCTCACCCTGAGGGCTGTGTGGAAGAGGGGGCACTGTGTGGCACTGTGTGGCAGGAGGCCATGTGGCACTGACACACCTCTCAGTGGGTCACAACTGACAGTGACACCAGACTCTGGTGGGCGCTGGCATTCTTCTCAAGCTAGCTGAGCCAATCTCAAGTGGCATCTGTCATTCAGGTGGCATCCATTACCTCTGCCTCCTGCAATACAGACCCTTCTTGGAATGGGGCCCTGCCAGCTCCTGCAGATGGGGCCCTGGTGCCATGCTAGCCAGACTGTGGGGCTTTGCTGTTTCTGTGGTAGTGTGGTCTGAACCCAAGCCTCACGCCTGCTGGGTAAACTCTGCACATGGACCTGTACCGCCAGTCCCTGGTGGCTTCCTTCCTTTTAAGATGCTATCTCAACAAAAGAAAAAAAAAAGCTTCACAAGGGAATGGACATGGATTTTTAAAAAGAAAAAGAAAAAAGAATAGGCACAAATATTGACTTTCAAGATCTGAAGGATGCTTTAAAAACTTTTGTTTTGTTTTGAGACAGGGTTTCCGCTATGTAGCTCGGCTCGCCTTAAATTTACCATGTAGCCAGGCTGGCTTCAAACTTATGGAGTCTCTGCTGCTTCATCTAATAACTCTTAAGGACTGCATCACATGACCTATCTAAAGGTAACGGTTTTGTTGTCCAGTCTGCCCCACGAAGGGCAGACTGGGGTGATTCCTTTAATTACTCAGCTTACACTTGAGAACAAACGCTAGGCTGACATTACCTCTTCATTCTGCAGAGCCGCAGAACCAGATGTTGTATCTATATCTCAGAGATACACAGCTGGGAGAAGAACTGAGCTCTTTCAATGATAAAATCAGGGTTCTTCCTATTATTTTCTTGTATTAAATTGGATTTTGTTTCAAGATTTGGGGTCCTCTCTGGAAGCAAAGTGCCCATTTGGGAAAAAAAAAGTGGAGTTTCAAATGAAATATAAGGCCAGGTGTGGCACAGCGAACCTGTAACCCCAGCACTCAGGAGGTGGAGACAGGAAGATTGCTGTGAGTCTGAGGCCAGCCTGGGCTATATAGTGAGTTCAAGGCTACTCCAGGATCCTGTTTCTTTTAATAAGAATATTCAGTATTGAGCTGGGTGTGGCAGCACACACCCAGCACTTGGCAAGAAGATTCTGTAAGTTCAAGGTCAGCCTAGAGAGAATTTGTTTCAAAAAAAGGATACTCAGGATTACATGCATCCCCATCTAGAAAATCCAGAATAGTCTCCCCATCCCCAAACCCCTACTCAAATCTGTAAAACAGATGTCCATTTTAATATAACACATTGATAAACTCTGGGAATAAGGTATGGAAGTTGTTGGACACCACTATTCAGACCATCAATGTGTGACTGTGATTTTCCATCTTTCACACATTTGATTTTCAAACACATTTACAGAAACTGTGCAGAAATACATGCAAAAAAGAGGCAACCTGCAGTGATGCTGTGAAATGTGACCTGTCCCCACCAGATGACAAGACTCTGCTGGTGTGTGTGTGTGTGTGTGTGTGTAAATCTCTCTTCTTGCTTAATAGAGTAAGGGCTCAGAAAAACTGAAACAACAGAGGAGACACTGGGAAAGATGTAGCTGCTACTTTTTTTTTTTTTAACTGTTTTATTTTTGTATTGAGGTTTGTTAAGGACCATCAGAGTGAGTTTTATTCCTGGCTCTCTTTTTTCTGGCTTTTTGTTTGTTTGTTTTAAATTTTGAGACAGGGTCCTGCTAAGCAGCTGGGTTGAACTCTCGACCCTCCTATTTCAGCCTCCCAGAGCGCTGGGATCACAGGCATGTACCAACAAGTCCGGCTGGTACTAGGTATTCTCAGGACAGAACACTGATAAGGCTGCTTCTTGTCTTTTAAGTAATCATGAACTAGTAGGTAATTCTGTCTTACAAAAAGGATAAAGAAAGGCAAAGGAGTTTTAGCTCTGAAGGTCATGTATTTTCTTGTCTTTTAAAAATTTCTTTGTAAAATTGAATGTGTTTGTACATTTCTTTATAAAATTAAAAATGTTTGTGTTTAGGATACAGTATGAATCTTTGAAACTAAACTCTTTATCAAATATTTTCTTTCCTTCCCTTAACACAGCTATTGTAGGACTATTCCTGAGCTATTTATCAGAATAAAATTGTTGTCTTGTTAGCATCTTAAAGGGAAAGGTTTATAGTGAACTGAAAGCAGTTGGTTTAAACCTGGGGAAGAAATTAAAATTAAATGAAACTTTCCAGGCATGGTGGTGCATGCGTGTAACCCCAGCACTCAAGAGGCTGAAGCAGGAGAATCGCGGTGACTCCCAGACCAGCCTGGGCTACACAGTAAGACCCTGCCTCAAAAACAAAAAGAAGAAAAAAAATTAATGGAATTTGGATTTTATTGTGTATAAGTAATTCAGAGTTCTTCTTTATTCAATTATATGACTTTCGTAATCACCTGGTATTTATTCCTGTTTGCTCTGTTGGGTAGATAGATAGATAGATAGATAGATAGATGATATCATCTGTTGAAGAAAAACAACAGTAACAACTCACAGGCATGGTGGTCTCGCCCTGTAATCCCAGCATTCAGGCAGCCTGGGCTCCATCATGAGATTCTTTAAAAAGGGAAGGAAACCGAGTGAGAAAGAAGACCGATTTCTGCCAGCAGCGTGGGCTGTGGCTGTACCTGTCCTGACCCATCCCGGGGATGACATGGCCCGAGGAGGGACAGTTCACAGGAAGGGGTACAAGTCCTGCAACCTTGAGTTGATGAAGCCCTGAAAATTTTAGTCGTCGTCCTGTAGAGAGAAATGAAAAGGATGCTGACTCCCCTGTGGGACAGGTCGGAAGCACCCTCTGTGTTGCCCTGAGTCTTTAAGGGAAGCTGGGTCCTGTACAGCCCGTGCTGCTCACCCCTCAGGTTTAACCCAAGAGCCACCGTCCAGCTTCTGTGGGGCCGCACCGTGCTCCATGCTCACAGGCAGGCAGCACAACAGCACTCCCAGCCCGGCTGCCTGCGGCGCTCATGGGACTGGGGTGGCTCACTCCATCCGCACTGTCCCACTGGGTCACAGGAAAACCGGTGCACAGGGCTCGTGAAGACTGAAGCCTCAGAAGAAGCCCTCTGCAGAGTACAAATGCAAGACTGAGACTTACTGTTCATAGTTTTCCATTCTTCTCTACTTTCTGTGATTTTGCTCTAGAGAGCCAGCAGAGCTGGCAGACCGGGACTGAGGGACAGTGCGCAATGCCCTACAGCATTCTGTTCAGTCCCCACGTAAACTTCCTTTTTTATTTATTTATTTTTAATTTTTTGTTTCTGGTCTTTTTGAGACAGGGTTTCAGCATACAGTTCAGGCTGGCCTTGAACTCGCAGCAATCCTCCTGCCTCAGCCTCCCAATTGCTGGGATTGGAGGTGTGCATTGCCATGCCCGGCCCTCATTTTGATTTTTTGAGACAACGTCTCACTCAAGGTCAGGCCTAACTTGAACTCACAGTGATCCCCTTGCTTCAGCCTCCCGAATGCTGGGACAACAGGCTTGTGCCATCACACTCAGCTAAACACAAATTTTACAAACTGGATACTTTTGTTATGTTCCAGGAAACCACGTTTAAGTCACTTTTCTAAGGCCATGCAGCAAGCAAGCCACAGAGCCAGCCAGGTAGGTATGTGGACTCCAAATCCCACGCCACGCCACGCCACGCCACACACGCCCTACTCATACTTCCCATCTTGTGCCAGGGTGTCATTTCTCAGTCCAAAGTGGGACTTTCCTGGATGTGAATAAAGAACCTAGATGTCAGGCTATGACTGGCCTCTGCTCCCAGTACCTGGTGGGCAGCTGGGGTCCTCTCTGATGGGGTGGCCCTCCTTCCTCTGCGTGGCGGGTGACCGGGGCTGCGCATCACCGTGTGGTTTTCCTTTGGCTCCAGTGACCGCAGGGTCTTTTCACACTCAGTGTATTGGATGTGTATCCGCCAGCTTAGCAGGAATACAGCTGTCACTGTCTCTCTCTCTCTCTCTCTGGAAAGCAAACAAAGCCAAGCAACCCTGAGGACAGAGCTGTGAGCGACGTTTTTGGAGAGGGGAGCCCTGCCCCTGGGATCCAAGCTGACCTCCGCCCCATTTCATGTACTCTGTTTCTCTGAAGCCCCTCTGATGCCCAGTCTGATGGGGAAGCTGGCCAGTTGCTTGCTGCAGTTGATTTGAGGAGCCAGATACGCTGGGATGGCATGCATGACCCAGGACAGCGACTTGGGGATGGGCTGTGGGGTGACGCACAGGGACACTTTGGCTCGTCTCCCCTGCGACGTTTTTGTACACATAAAACCAGGCTAAAATGAATCACAGAAAGAGAGAAAAGGGACCAGCCGTAGGTCCAAGGAATCAGGGCAGAGGGCAGCTGAGGGACTGACAGGGGCTTTGGGTCTGTTCAGCCTTTGCCTCTGCCTGCCTCAAGACATTGTCCAGGGTCCTGGGTTGAAATTTTTTGTTTTTTGAGACAGGGTCTCCATATGTAGAACAGGCTGGCCTTGTACTCAGTGTGATCCTGCTGCCTCAGCTTTCCAAGTGCTGGGATTATAGACATGCGCCATCATTTCTGGCTGAAAGAGGCTTTGTAAAAATTCTGGAATTTAGTACCCACGGTGCCATACGGATGCAGAACTCAAAGCTGGGGAAAGCAGAGACAACTCTTAAGCCTTGCGGGAAGTTCTCCCGCAGAGGGGCGTCGTGCATGAGTGTGTGCGTGGGGCGGCAAGATGTCAGCTGCCAGCCTCTTCCCTAGCTGTGGGTCTTGTCATATCTTGTCACCACAACCGCTACGAGTTTTGACAAGTGGGCTGTTTTAGCACCAAAGTGCCCACGTGGGAGGGCGAATGTCTTCTGAAGCTAAATGCCACTGCAAACCCACGAGCCTCCCAGTCATCTGCAGCGGGAACACAGCCGAAGACAATCCGAGCGCCTCTCCTGCCCACACAGCAATTCAAGGGAGCCCTCGGCTTGGCGTCCCAGGCAGGCTTCTCTTCTCGCATGTGGTAATTAGCATCACTTGCCTTGGCCAGCGCAGCCAGCCGGGGAGCCTAGCAGCCTTACAGGCACCAAACTCAGGGCCTCCTGCAGTGCCTGGGATGCAGGCAGGAATGGCGTCTGCAGAGACAGGTGTGCTGGGGACTCAGGAGGAGGCTTGAAAGGCTGAAGGGTCTGCCGTGTGCATTTTCTTGAAGGTCTGTTTCTCTCCAGATGCTCCTTTGTCAGAGGTGTGACACCTCAAACTTACTGCAGGACATCCGGAGGCCTTAATAAAACACGGCGGGGAGTAGGGGCGCATGATGGAGACTTCCTCCTGCTCTTCCTCCTCCTCCTCTTCCTTTCCCTCCTCCTCCTCCTCTTCTTCTCCTTCTATTTTGAGACAGGGTCTTGCTATGCGGTCCAGGCTGGCCTGGAATTTGCAGTGATCCTCAGCCTCCCAGGTACTGGGATTACAAGCATGGCCCATCGTGCCCAGAAAAATGTGATATTCTAATTCGAATGTCTCCACACCAGATGCATCATAAGGCATGTACATTTTACAGCAAAATCCCATGAAAATTAGTGTGGATTTTAAAAAAATTTTTAAGATGCTCTATTTATATTTCTAATGAGATGTTATACTATAACATAACCATATGGTTAAGAGATTTGGAATTACTTAAAATCTTTGGAGGAGACCTAGTATCTCAAACATACAATTCCAACACTCCAGGAGGCTGAGGCAAGAGGACTGCAAGCTTGAACCCAGCCTGGGAAACTTGGTGGTTTTGTATTGTGCCTCTGAATAAAAAAAATTTTGAAAGAGGCTGGAAATGTGGCTCGGTATGAAGGTGTTGTGTTCAGTCCTCAAGAGCACACACACACACACACACACACACACACACACACACATGCACATTCGTATAGTTTTGGCAATTTACAATGCAACTGTATTCAGAACACGTTAACCAAATAGTGTGTCACTTCTGACACACTGGTTACAGTAAAACTAAGATGAATCAATGTCTTTAGATTCCTAGAAGACAGAAATTACTTCAAACAGTTCAGAACCATGACTTTTTTTTTTTCTTTTTATTGGTACTGGGGATCGAACTCACGACCGCCTGCTTGCAAGGGAGGTACTTATGCCGCTGAGTTAAATCCCCAGCCCCAGAACCATGACTTTGAACACTGAGTAGAAAAACCCCATATCTCCGCCCCCCCCCCCCACAAGGCCAGGGCCCTGCAGATGCAGGACGACTGTATGACGCCTCGAAACCTGTTCTGCCCTGCTCACCTGGGGAAGGCATCGTCAGAAGAGCAGAGACGGTGGAGCTGGGGCTGTGCCTAGTGTCACCTGTCCCATTTCAGGCTGGCCAACCATGGCCCCGGCTTGCACACCCCAGCAAACCACTTGTCTTCTCCATATAACAAGACCCAAGCCCCACGGTCCAGAAAAGGCACAACCCCCTCCTCCAGATGCTTAGCATAATAATTCTCTAAAGATGAACTTTGTGACAGAAATTCTGCCACCACAGTTTTCTCTGTCCATTTGCCTTTTCAGTAATTTATTTATTTTAGTTAGTTTTTGGAGACAGGGTCTTGCTTTGTATGCCAGATCGGCTTTGAACTCACTTTGTAACCCAAGATGACCTCAGACTCACAGTAATCCCCCTGCCTCAGCCTCCTCAGTGATGAATACAGGCAGGCTCCACCAGGCTAAACCTGGTTTCAGCCATGTTTTAATATTCATGTTTTTTACCATGCATGGGGTACCTGCCTCTAATCCCATCATTCTGGAGGCAGAGGGAGGAGGACTGCAGTGAGTGTGAGGCCAGCTTGGACTAAATAACATGATACTTTTGCGCCCCTTTAAAGTTGCCATATGCCTCGTTACCAGTTGGCCCACAGTTTCGTCCTGTCTCTGCCCCTATAAATCCCTCCCTGGTTCTTATTGCCTTGTTCAATGAAGCGACTTGAAGCTGGGAAGCACAGGCACCTTTCTTTTCCTTTCCATTCTTTTTCGAAATATGAGGCATGTGGGAGTCTCAAGAAACAATGCCTGGGAAATAAGTCAATCTTGCTTCGTTTTTCTTCTGCCTTTGAAGGCTTGATACACTTTAAAAATTGCTTTGGCTGTTTGAGATAAGCTCTCCCTTTGTACTTCAGGCTAATCTTGAACTCACTATGTAGCCCAGGCTGGCCTTGAACACATGGTGATCTTTCTGCCTTGGCCTCCTGAGTGCTGGTGTTACAGACTTGTGCCACCATGCCCAGCACCTCTTTCTTTCCAGTCCATATTCAGGCTATGAACCTATTGGGGTGACCCACAGCCTGCTGGGTCTCCCCTCCTTAGTAAATCCGTCACCCAGACCTGTGCTAAACACTACAGGTAACTGTGGCTCATATGGGGATGATCCAGTCCCTTTTAGTCCCTGAGAGACTCCAGGGCAGTGGTGGCAAAGCTGTGGCATGCATGCTGCCCCGCACTGCTTGTTATTACTGAAAGCTTGGAAAGTTCCACCATCATTGCTCTAGGGAGAAGATGGCAAATGATGAGAGCATCATTGTCTGCAGCGGTTCATGCCATTCTGAGCACAAATGGAGCAAACCATTAAATGCAATTTGTTTTAACTTGGTTCAGCATCAACCACAATTAAAAGAATGCTGGATCTTTCACCAAGGTTTAAGGAGCACCAGGCCCTTGTGACTGACCATCATCACAGGAGGGTGAGCCACATTCTGGACACAGGCTAACACAGGGCGAAGTGAGTTAATGGCATGATGCATAAGCCACCAGAATGACATGGACACGAGAAGAAAGCTCTATTTGAAGAGCGGGCTCTGAGATGGGCCTTGAAGGATGGAAAGGGGTTTGGGAAAAAGGATGAGTTGTCAAGCAAAGGGATTGGAAGAGGAAAGACCCTTCCTGTCACGGGGACAAAATATCTGACTCCTGTAGTTTAGAGGAATGGTTTGTTTGGCTCATGGTTTCAGAGGATCCAGTCCATGCTCTGCTGGCTCCAAAACAGAAACAGCATGGCGGGAGGGCCTGGCGTAGCAGAGCGGCTCAGCCCATGGCAGCCAGGAAGCAAGAAAGGAAGGGGCTGGAGACAAGGATGCAGCCAGCCAGGCCCACCTCCTCCCAGCACACTTCCCTGTGAACGCACACACGGATCAATCCTCTCAGGAGCGTGGGAGCTGCAAGACCCTGTCACCCCTGAAAGCACCCCTCTGAAGGCCTTCTGCGGGACTTTCAGAAGTTTGTTACTGAGTACACAGATACCCGCACTATTTCCCAACTGCGGTAAAACCGTCTGAATCTGTTTCATAAGGTTGCTAACATTCGATATTTGGGGTACTTGGGAGAACTAGATATGGGTGGGTCTTTTCCAACATGGAGTCCTAAATGGGTGATTTAGTTTTTGTGTGTGTTTGTATGTTTCTATTAAAAAATGCTCCATGCTAAGCACTGCTTTTTTGTTTTTGTTTTTTTTTTAAGACAACATTTCACCATGTAATTCAGGCTGGCCTTGAACTCACTATGGAGCCTTGGCTGGCTTCAAACTTGCAGTAATCCTCCTGCCTCAGTTTCCTGAGTGCTGGAATGATGGGCATGCACCACCACACCTAGTTTATTTATTCACTCACTTTGCAGTACTGGTTGTTGAACCCAAGGCCTGCATGCTGAGTTCAATCCCCTCCCCATTCTCACTAGGTCACAAAGTTGCCAAGGCTGGGTTTAAAGTTTGATCTTCCTGTCTCAGCCTACTGAGTAGCTGAGATCTCAGGCGTCCGTGTGATGCTGGGCTCCTGAGTAGCTTTGGCTCTCCGTTCATCTCTCCATCATCCGCTTGGTGTCTAGTGTTCCCTTTATCTGTGACAGTTCCAGCAGCTCCTTCTACCCCCGCAGCAACTCAGATGGTTGCAGGTCTTCTGTTGTACTTCTCCAATCACCTGGTTCAACACTTCTGCTCACTTCATGACACTGTATTCCTCTTTCTGTCTCCCAG